CAAAGGTAGCGTGACTGGTTGATCTGCTAAAGTATAGCGGAGCTGGGCAATTAACGTAAGATATTATGTATATTTCTTAATATATATATATTAAATAGCTCTGTTACTTAACATTGAGCATTGTCTTCTTCTTACATTATAGCGTATTTATATGTATATATATTGTTTGTTTTTTTTTTAAATAAAGCGTTAAGAGGTTATTTGTTAAAAGTCGCCTGAGAATACCGTAAGGTAGAAAGCAAGGTAAGCGGATTCAACTGATCTCCTGAATTTTATAGTATATATATATATATATATATATATATATATATATATATAGTATATATATATATATATATATATATAATATATATAGTGTGGCCAAATGCTCCTTCGGCCCAAAAGGCACGTCAAGCTAAATGACGGATACAGGTTCGAATCTTGTCGGAGGACGAATATTTTCAGTGAAAATTTCTCGAACATTTAAGCCGGTAAATATTGTTTAATACTGTTTATTATAAACAGAGCATTTACTTAAATATTTGTATCTATAAAAATAATGTATAAATCTCTCAAAATATGTATGTGCGTGTTCAAGGAAAATGTGTAACAAATTGGAAAACAAGTTTTCGACTGACTCGTTTTGACCATTAAGACTTCATCAGACTACACATGCAGGCGAATGAGAGACGCTGGAAATTTTAAATTTCGAAAAAAAAAAGCCTTATATGTATTGTGGGCATATAAGGAACCTGTTCAGTTTAGATTCAATTTCATTTTGTTTCCATCATCTTTGTTATAAAACATCCCACACTGTGACAACAGAAGATCTGCCCTTAAAATGGTGAAACTTTGCTTGAACAAGCGATTAAAGCGCTATCTAAATATTTTCGTCTTAATCAATTACTGTCTCCTTTAATGAGAGCAGGTTTTTTTTTTATGTAAAGTCTCATCCGTCTTATTACAGTGAATCTATCTTTTAATGTATTATTTTTTAAAATGTCTCATTTGTGTTCATATAATGTTTTATTTAAACTTTTTCATGTTTCTCCAATAATTTCCTTCTGGCAATCTATGGGATATTTGATAACAAAGATGATGGAAACAAAGAGAAAATTTAAATGGAATTTGCTAGATTATATACTAAATCACATATATCTAAATCTATTTAAATACTTATCGTCTCTCATTTGTACGCATGCGTAGTTGCATCAATGTAAACATAACTAATCTAATGATGTCCTAAAGAACGAAAGGCTTCACACGAAAACCTTTTACACTTTGTTATGCATGTTTCCTCAAATGCTGTTCTTGATATATACAAAATTACATATCTATAGCATATATATATATATATATATATATATATATATATATATATATATATATATATATATATATATATGTGTGTTTGTGTGTGCGCGTGTATATCATACTGATGAGCCGTGATACAGCGAAACAGTCTGTCTGTGGATGACTATACATATATATATATATATATATATATATATATATATATATATATATATATATCAAGGAAAATAAAATCATCCCTGATAATGTCTAAAAGTATAGACGAAAGCGCTCGTATATACAAAACATTTGGGCAATTTCTACATAATTTACGTCAGTAAAGTAGAAAATAAAAAAAAAAAAAAAAAACGAGAAAAATAAAAAAAAATAACCGCATTACCATGTTAGCGGTTTTTGATGAAACTTGTATGAAAGATGGATTGGTGCCCAAATATACAGTTCTGCGCGCGTGCACACACACACACACATATATATATATATATATAGTTCTCTCCAAACTAAAATTATTGCCTCACTGATTCTTGCTTTCCAATCTCCCTGTTTTTAAGAACTATTCAGACCCTTCAGACTCCTAAAATTACCGTCCTATAAGTCTCCTACCGCTCAAACAGACTGAGTTGATGACGTTTACAATGTAATAGCAAGTCGAGGCATAAAAAACAGACATTTTTTTTTCTCCATATAATATTTTTCTTTGGAGCAAAGATGTCCAGGCAGGTTGGAGTTGTACTCCATCTATCCTATTGCAGGAATTTTTTGTAGTTGCTATTATTTATATATATATCTAAAGTTTCGAACTTCTTTGTACTGTTTTTACTCAAATTAAGGAGTGACTAAGACTGGCAACTGCTAGTCGTAATATATCCATTAAAAATAAATCATTCGTTGAAATTACAATTTGGAATTACAAGTTTTTTTTCTTTCTTTTAATTGTGCAACTCCCAACGGAGACAAGCATCCTAACTTTAATATCGTTTCCGCTTTGCCGGTCTACCGCTGATGTGCTTACGGCCATAACTGAATATGTATACCAAGCTCTTGATAATAACAGTGAAGTTCGTACTGTTGCTATAGATAGTGATTTTCCAAGCGTAGCTTAGATGTGGCACAAGGCCGAAAGTAGGGGGCACCCAGAGAAGATCGAACTCACTACTCAGTCGTAATTAATCTGGCGAGATAAACTTGCTAACCATTACACTGCCTCGAGGCGCCCCTGTTGCTCTAGAAATATGGAAGTCGTTTGTCAGGGTTTGGCATGCTGATCTTCTACGTAAGCTTCAGGGATATGGTATTACAGGACGATTATTTGATTTAATCCAATTATAACTGTCTAACCGTGAAATGAAGGTTGTCCTGAACGGGTTCTCTTCCATTTCCTTCCATACAAACGCTGGTGTTCCTCAAATCTCTATCCTTGGTCCTCTACCGATTTTCATCCATGATCTTCCTGACGTCATCAGTTCTCTAGTCAGCATCAACGCAGACGACATTACCATTTACGTCTGTCTCAATAGTAAATCCGGAATAGCTGACAACGTTAACCTGGCAGTTGGTCTCGAAAACGACCTCCAATCTGTGGTTGACTCGGGCAGGAAATGGTTTGTGAATTTTAATGCGTCCAAAACGAGACTGCTGTCATTTATTCACCATAGAAAAACATTCCCGCCTCCTATCAGCATGACTGATGCTCAACGAGAGCGCTTCACTGTGCCGTTTTGGTTTCACGTTCTCCACTGACATTATATGGAACAACTACATTGAAACAATAGTTGCATCTACTCTAAGGAATAATGGTTCTCTGTGTGATGCCAGGGATTTCTCACCCAAGTCCTTCATTAACATCTACAAATTTACCATTCGTCCATGCATGGAATACTGTTGGCATATTTGGTCTGGTGCCCGTGCTGTTCATCCTGAGGTTCTCGACTAAATCAAGACATGGATATGAAATATGATCGGTCCTGACTTGGGGTCTCGATTCCAGTCACTTTCTGA